GGAGGCCGTTAGATCATTACAGCAAGCTGAAGAAAGATATCAAGATATACTATTATCAGAAATACTTATCAGGGCGACGTCCGGTTCTCGTCCGATCACCGCAGTTAAGCTGTATTGGGCGCGGTTAGCAATTGGATGCCTAACCTTATCAACACACTATCAAAGATGTTAATATGTGAATTCGTATTTCCTTATCCTGCTACAAATTACGATTTTACTCATATAAAATGAAATAATAAAATATATTTCGCTTCAAGGAGTTTACCTTAATTATCATGGGAAAATTATCATTCCGAATTAATTATTACAAGAATTAGATTGGTGGCAGAAAAATGATGGAACAGGTCAAGCTATGAAACTTAAGCTCTTCTCGAGAGAGGTATTTTCAGATGCTTTACAGACTGGTTATTGCGACTTTTGTATGGATTTAAATATTATAAGTTTTGGGAATACCTAGAATTGAAACTTCACATTAACTTCTTAAAAATCAAGGCAGTGTTTTATGCTTTAAAATATTGTTAAAAACGAAATAAATGTTTGCATATTACGGAGGATGACAACGAAACAGCCATGTCTTGTATAAATCGAGGTGGAATCATTAAATATTTATGTAAAATATTAAAAAAAAAAAACAATGTGGAAATTGTGTGAAATAAAGCATATTTTAGTAGGTGCCAGTTACATCTCGTCGGCAGCAAACACAAATGAAGATAGGAAATCAAGGTCAATTACCATAGATATAAATTAAACGACAGAGTATATAAGGATATTATAAAAAAGTTTAATTATCCGGAAATAGATTTGTTTGCCTCAAAAATAACTAATAAAATGTTTAAAATTTATGTCATGGCTTCCAGAATCAAAATCTGGATACATTTACCTTATATTGGACAAAAATGGTCAAGATATTACTTTTATGATTTTTCTGATTTTTCGCTACCATCAAAATTAAACCAGAAAAATATTTGCTTTTCACTACTTTTGTGAAGATTCATCATCCACGCCACAACAAAATTTCCCTGATGGCAGAAAAATCGTTCGAAGGTCTTAAAAAGAAGCATTCCTGGTGATGAAATACAATATGAACGGTACAATAAACCTAATCTAATATAAAATGAAATGTATTGAATATAATAAAAACATATTTGTTCTGAAATTGGCTAATTGAACACTCATCTAAATTGCAATTATTAGCCAGTCGCATTAGTCTAAGTAGAGGCACATGATAATTTTAAAGTCTCTAGCAGTGATGCCCTAAAAAAATATCGGTCGGTTTTACGAAATATTGGACAGTATAAGGTCAGCGTTAAATTTAAAATTTTACCTACTAGATACCAATAAAAAAAAAAACAATTGAAGAGAATTTTAAGAAACCTTGAAAAATTACACCCTCTAGACCCTTAAGACGTTTCAAAAAATTGACACATAAGCTTGGTACTCTTATAGCACTAATTAACATCAGCCATCAAAATACAGATTTTTTCTTGATAAAGCTTCAATACGTCGTTAAAAAGGATACAATTTAAAATCTCTGAAAATATTCATGAGCGAGAAAAAATTTCCTGATATTAATTTGACCTCGCGTGGTATTCGGTAAGAAAATTTCACGCCGAATTATGGTTGAAAATTAAATATTTTTAAAATTTATTTTTCGTTTCTCAACAATGCAAATTATTTTCTCCAAGTCACCAGTGAAACATCAAAGGTGTTGTCGCCTTGATTGTTGAGTTGTCATGGTAACTAAGTGAGACCCTAACCTCGAATATAATTTCAGTTTTGAAGTTGTCAAGCGGCCCGACGTGAAAAAATGTTTCGCTGCAATTATTTAGGCCTTCAAATTGCTTATTTCTACTCATTGTAGTTGCATGGGAATACCATTTGAAAATAGAAAATAGTATATTCTTTAATTTTACGTAAGTTTTGAATAACTACAAGTGGTAGAAAATTGTTTTTCTGCGTTTTTATTAACATGCGTTATGAGTGCTTTAAAATGGTATGAAATTCATAACCAGCGTCAGCAAGCATCAATCGTAGGAGGATGTGATCATTGTATTTTGACAGTTCAAAACATTAAATAACTCGCGTTTTGTTGCGATAAAGAATATTGCACAGCAAGTAAAACCAACAAAATTACCTATTTGTTTAAAAATGAATCGATTTGAAAATCATACGCTATGCAAAATATGCGTGAAATTGTCTGATGTAATGATCAATTATTGCACCATGACTTACTTACTCGGATTAATAGAGGATTGTGGCTCCAACTTGAAAAACGAAAATTTGTTCCGAATTGTCCACGAATATTTGCACCTAAACTACGCAAAATTCAAACTGCTGAATGGGAAAAAGGTAAATAAATTAGTGTCTAAATATTATATATATTTTATTAGACATAGACACATAATTCAAAGCATCCAAAGTCCTGCATTTTCGCCATTAAGAAGAAAAGAAGTGGCCGAAGAACATAGAAAACACCTTAGCATTCTAACTAAAATGTATCAAAACTAAACCTATTATGTGAACAAATAAAAAGCAGTCTGTCAAAAATGGTCTGTTATTGTAAACGTCAAAAAATTTCCAGTATAATTCGCTGTTGGGTACCCCACGAGAAAAAAATTTCCACTAAAATACCTCCGTTGCCATGGTGATCTGTCAAAAACACGTATTTTGATTGGTTCAAAATTACAGGTGTGGAATTTTCAAGGAAACATAATCGTCTCGTAATAAGGAGCAACATCTTATACTGAATAAACTACGTCACGCATAAATATCTGCTGCGTTTAGGGTAGTATTGAACAAATAAGAAATATCGCAGGTTAGACACTTTCTTCTAAAACATTTTTCAAATTTTATAATAAAACTATAAAAGAAGATCACCTTTTCTTGCTCTGAACATCTACGATGTGAAGAATAAACAAAGGAAAAACAAAAAATAATCGGCTTATCTTAAGGAAGAATAATTATAATTTTCCATGCTTGTCCGTAGATATAATTATTTCCCATCTCACCCTAATATATGCAAACATATTTAGTTCCTAGATATCAGATGATTTTCGTAACTCGCACTTCAAATAAATGATATACAAAGGTTTGGTATAGGATTAGGAGCAGTGAATATGTGGCATTTCGTTCACTCTAGAAAAAATACGTGCTGATGAGTATGTTTCAAAGAAAATACAATGTTGTTATATCTACGGATAAGCTGGGAAAATTATAATTAATCTTCCTCAAGGTAAGTCGATTAATTCCTAGTTATCATCCTATCTCAGTAAATATTTTTAGTTGAATGTTTTTCGCCATTAACAACAACAAACATGTAGACCAAAAGAATTTTTTGCACGCGAAAATAAGAATATGCACCTGCTTTGTTTCAATTAAATGGGACAATCAGAGCAAACTTCTGAAGAGAACTTAAGAAACAAATGTATGGTTAATATTACTGGGTTCGACACCGTTAACCTTGCCGTATTTTGACATAAAAATCTTGTAAGGGGCGGCCACTATGCATTTGGGTAGGCGGGACCTATGCGTGATATTTGTAGACTAGGTTAGAAACGAGTATGGACCAAAGGGATTATTTTATGTTTTGGAATGTGTGGAATCCAAACACGATCTCAGAATTAACTTTCAACAAACCGTTTAACGACAACCACAGGATGAACACTCTGGGAGATAAAGCACACATTATCTCGTGTTTAGAGGGTACCCTTGCAGCACTACTTTGTAAGTAAATTTAAAATAAACTTCAAGTCTCAATCTTCCCATTTCTAAAAATAACGCTTTATAAATAATCAAATCTAAATTAAAACTTGGTTTATTTAAGTCGCGAATTTGTTTTAAGTTGCAATTATGTACAAGTTTGAATTTAGTAATTATTTAATACTAGCTTTTACCTGCGGCTTCGCTCGCATTTAGGCCGTTAAATAAGAATCAGAGATCATTACAATAGAAATGAATTAATATGATAACTGTATTTTATTGCTTGGCTGGGATTATCAATTTTAAAAAATTACGACATACAGTTTCAAAAACTTAAAATATGCTTTATTGAATTACAACAACAAATGTTAAAATATATTTCTCTTTAACAAAAATAAATAATTTTGAATTCTAACAACTTGAAAAGCTAAAATGTAGAGTATTAATCTAGAATATTTTTGTAGACTACATATAGTGGACCATGAGAAAAGCATGGCTTTTCTAAATGCACTGCTGCTACCTGTAATGTTTGCCCTTGTGCTTTGTTTATTGTAACAGCAAAGCTAAGCTTAACAGAAAACTGAACCCTTTTGAATTGGAGTGGAAGGTCAGTGGGAATAATTGGAATCCGAGGTATGATAACACTTTTTCCTTCACCAATACCTATTAGTCTAAGATCCGAAGCAAGGTCGACCTTCACCCATCTGTTTAATGGATGAAAGTTTCTTTTTATTAAATAAAATATGTTTAAAAATATACTGCAAAAGGCTTGCCTAAGAAAATACGGTCCAGACTATTTATTTTCTTAAAATAATAAAAAAGACACCCTGTAAAGTCTTTCCCAGATGCTTCGACTATGCCCAAACTTTAATCAGCTCACCTCAGGCTAGATTAAAAATTAAATTGAAAATTTGGTGTTTTTCTCCTTATCCGTTTTTGAGTTAACTTTAAAATTCCAAATTTTCATTTTTCCTCAAATATCTCAAATTAGGTCCATTTTAGGGAAATCATGTATAGGGACAAAATAATATAGAATGACATCGTTAGTAACTTTTATCATGATTTCTATACTTTTCTTATCTGTATACAGAAAGAAAAGCAAAAAATGGCCGTGACCGTATTTTCTTAGGCAACCCATTTGCGGTATATTTAAAAACATATTTTATCAAATAAAAAAAAACTTTTATCCAATAAACAGATGGGTGAAGGTCGACCCTACTTACGGATCCTGGGCTATATTAAAATAGTATCACCAAGTATATTCTGCCCCAATTTCGTTATTCGAAGCCTTGTTCCATTACATAGCAGAGGAGAATTTAGATTTCGCATAAGCATAACTGGTACATTTAGTTTCAATTGAATGTTATGTGATGGTACACCCGACAGTTCAAGTGAATTCAAAAACTCCACGGAATATGAAGTACTCAGTTCCGTATTCATAATTGTATCCATTGATAAATATTCCTTCATTTCTCCTTGCACCTCTTTTAAAATGTCGGTGTTAATCCTATTAACTACTTCATTTTTTGGTGCTAATATTGCTCTTGCGCACAACCACTGATCACAACTTAAATTTTGTTGCAATTCCGGAAAAACATGAGCAATGAGATCCACATCATTTTCTACTAAATCACAAAATCCTCTTGATAGTGATATATAACCTTCAGCGTCAACTTCTAAACAACCATCACCAATTTTTAACAACAATTCTGCGTAAAGTCCCGAATCTACATCATTATGAAGATGTACTCTCATATTCGTTGTCAGGCTGAGTTTTTTAACTCTCGACCATAAGCTTGATGATTTAATGCATACTTGAATTTTATCTGCTGGTATCCCCCTCTGAATGACTGGGAGGGTTTGTCAGAAATCACCAGCCAATAAAACAATTATTCCCCCCATTATATCTGTACTATCTCGTAAGTCCTAAAGAGTCCGGTTTAAAGCTTCTATAGCCTTCTTGTGAGACATTATACTTTCATCCCACACTAAAAGTTTAGACTCTCGCAGCATCCTTCCTCGCAAACTATTTTACTGAAATTACAGATGGGTGAATCTTCCTGTGACAGATTCAAAGGTAATTTTAAAACGGAATGTGCCTTACGGCCGCCATTTAATAGCGTCGCGGCAATACCCGAAGAAGCTACAGCAACTGCTATGTTCTGTCTTTTCTGACAGACGTTGATAATAAGTTAAGCAAAAACGTTTTGGCTGTTCCTCCTGGTGTGTCAAGAAAGAAGAGTCCACTATTGCCAGAGTCTATTTTATTTAAAACTCGGAAAACATGATTTTGCTCTGGAAGTAATTGAGGCAATAATTCTGTCACTTGATGTTGTAGTGCTATGAAATCATAATCTGGCTCTCGAGTAATTTCATTATTAAAATAATCCGTATTGTCTCGTCGAGGACTTCCATTGCATTCCAAAATCATCTAATTTTTCCAACCATTGTAAAAACCATTTTCGATTATAATTAGCGTTTTGTTGTAGATTTGGTCATGAAAAGTCATATCTGTTTGTACTTGCTGCAGTTGATGTAAAATATCTTCAGCCATGTATTCTTTGCAATTATCCCAAAGAGTTTGAGGGTCAGAAAGACCGCAAGAAGATAAGAGCATAGCGTAAAGTTCCCTGATTTTATCTGGCAATCGACATTGTACGGCTTCCTCCATAGTTTTGTCCCAATGATTATTATTTTCTAACAGTTGCCGGGCTTCACATGCTTCTCTGTATTTTTGACATTCCCGACCATTAACAATTTTAAGTTCTGTAAAGCTAGTTGAACCTCTAACATGATGCAATAACATACGTAGACAAGAGTATTCAAAATTTGTAACATGTACGGTATAGACACGACCAAGAGCATCCGATGCTTTAACCTTAGGTTGATTTTCGACAGGTGTGCTTTGAATACGTCGATGCCACTCTTTTTTTGAGGTGTTTCATGTCTAATTATGGGGATCTCAGAGTATAATATTGTCCTTGCAAAATTATCATTCTAACAAAGGTGGAAAAAGGCAGTCACTGTGGTCTTAAAATCCCTGTCTTAAAAGGGGTTTTCATGTCCCACCGCTAGAATAGCTGTATCCTCATCATAAGTAGCGAAAGTTACATATTCGGTATGTGGTATTACATAAGCATATAACAGGTAAAGCTCTGGTCCTACCACGCTGCCTTGTAGTACACCTGCGGTGATACTTTTATTGTAAAAAATACTTTAACCGTATTGACTAATACTCTACCAGTAATATAATATTTTAAAATTTTAATATATTGTTTTGGTAACATTTTTTCCAATTTGTTTATAGTATTTTATGCTAATAATATTGGTGAACATAAATTTTCTTTTTCTTATAGGATTTTTCAATTATATCTATTATGTAGTGAATTTTGTCGACTCCTTGTTAATTATAATGCACACTTGCATTCAGGGAACGAAACACACTTATTATATTAAATAATTTTATGAAACATACAGCAAATATTTTTCTCAATCTTCACCTTCTTATAAATGTACAGCACTAAAGCCAAATCCAATTTGTATTATTTCCTTTTGGTTTCTTGATTAGATTAACTTCTCAATATTCTTCTTTTTCTTATAGCTTAGTGTAATCCTACATCTTTACTTCTTTGCTTGCGTCTCGTAATAAGATTTTCTTTGTGACGACAAATAGAAAAAGTCAGCAAATAAATTTGTAGCTTTACAATTTGATAATCAGGTGAGATATAGTCACGGATGTTATATACCGGGCGATTTAAAATTTGGCAGCAAAAATCAACTCAAAATAAATAAGGTACAGAATAAAAAAAATACCCATACGAGATTATGACGGATAAGTAATGTTATTTTTAACAGACACGTTATTTGTGAATAGATTGTTATTTTTATGTGTTTATAAAATAACAGACCTGTTAAAAATAACACAGGTCGTCAATCATAACCTTGTCTGCTATGTGTTTTTTTTTTTCATGTAGCGTCAGTAACTAAATACATAGCCTAAACGCATTGAATTACCGAGTCGCTTGAATCATCTGATTAAAATCCTTTAATGTCTTTTTTTTTTTCGGGTTATAATAAGGCAATAAATAATATTCAAAGAAAGACCAGACTCACAGTTAAGAAATTCAAATAAAAATAAATGATACTTACTGCGCTGATATCAAAAAGTTTTATATATTAGACTAAATTTGACATCCAAAGTATCCATATCTCTTCTACAAAAAAGTAGGTAAATTAATGTGCCAACAACACTGAATCTGCCCAACTTCTTTCTAACATCTGTAATGTCTTCACCCTTGAAGATCAGACATCACCAGCTCCCGACATTTTCTAAACGGGATACGAGCTTCTATTTCCAATGTATTTTTTGATCTAGACATAATAAAAGAAAAACTTAAATTGCTTAGGATCAACTCCTCACCAAGTTTGGATAGTATCTCCTCTTTTCAGAGCATACACTGTTTGTTATCCTATTTTCTATAAAATGTCACCTAGCCGCAAGCTTACTGTGCGTCCACTTACTCGCAACAGTTAAGCAGTTATCTCTCCGGTCACGTCGTGGATGAGTGACCGCTGGGAGATTCCACCATGGGCTGCAGGCTGCAGTGCTGCCAGACTACAGACGGATTAGGGTGTAGCACGGAAGGTCTAAAGGGTGTAAAAACTAAAAAAAAAAACCGTGCCACCTACATGGAAGACTGCATCACTGGCTGATATATTTAAAAAGATAAATAAGTTGATCAGAAATAAGCTACATTGACTAATCTCCTGTCAATCACTGGATAACAACCTTAGCTTCTAATATTCCTACAAATAATATATACTTTTACTAAAGCAGTTGATTGTGTTCCAAAGCATTTAAAAAGATTGAACACCTGGGAATCTGAGGCAACTGAATTTGGTGATGGCCTTCTTAACCTCCAGACAATTTTGCGTAAGAGTTGGTAATTGTTTGTCTCAAACCAAACCTATTTCCAGTGGAGTACCTCAAGGATTAGTTCTAATATTCCTCTGCATATAAAAAGCGGTTGCTTCTTTTACGCAGACGAGACTAAAATTTACGCTAATCCGATTGCGGACTATCAATATCTTCAATCAGATCTAAGTGAGTGAGATATCAAAATGGATTTCAGACTAGTTTGCTGTTGTTCTTCAAATAAGTAAAAATAATAGAAAATTGACATACAATATTCTTAATTATACCTTAAAAAGACTCTATCGTCTCAAAATGATCTCGGCGTTATTATTACGAAATACTTAATGATCAGAGTATGTATTATCAAAAAGCACACAATCAATCTCCCAAGTCGTCCTATTAAAAAAAAAACTTTTGTAAATGTTTCTTATTTAACATTCTTAAAAGTGTAAAGGTACACTTCATATGTTTGTCCTCGCCTGAAGTACGGTCATCCTGTTTACGGCTAATATTCATAAGTTTTTGTGAGCAACGATTGTATTATTTAATCTTTTCTTTTCGTGCAATTAGGCATAATATGTTCGGTGTCGATGTTTCGGATATATTTGTGCTAAATAGTTGTTATCTTTGCTTACAAGGGTATATGTTCAAATTAAAGGAAGTAATTTTTAATTTTTTTAAAGTTTTTACTATTTTGAACAATTTACAAAATAGCTTTGTACGCGCACTTTCAATTAACTCATTAAAAACCAATTTGATTCTTTAGACTATGGTGTATCAAATATATGTAGTTCTGATTTAACGAGTTGATACGCAGGTAGCCAGTACCATTGTAGAGCTGGAAAACTAGCCGCGAGTTCCTTTAAACCCTTTAGTATAAAAAGAAACAATTAGCGAAAAAAAAAGTGCGTGTCTTCGTGCGTCAAATTGGTGACGCCAAGGGTGAAGCCAACTAAAATTTTGACGCGATTACAGGTATAGTTTGGGGACAACATTATGTCAAGAAACCGTATGAATACGTGGAATAAAGAATTAGTGGGCGTGAAAAGGTTGAGAACGAGAACCATGCTGGCTGCGAGTGTGATCGAAGCCAACATTGAGGCAGTACAAAATCTCATTTAGGAAAATCGGCACTTAAATCTCTGGGAATTTGATGAACTGAACGTCGGGTATGAAAGTGTCTACAAGATCATGACAGATGCCTTGAAAATTACATTCTTTTGTATGACAACACCAGGTCTGAAACGGCCGATACCACAAATCCAAAATTGAGAGCAGAAGGAAAACGCTGACATCCGCTATACACCTACTTATCCCCTTCTGATTTTTATCGTTTTGGATCTCTCAAGAAGTTCTTGGTGGCCAATGTTTCGAAGACAACGCAAAGCGGTGAAAGCATTTGTGCTCCAATGGATAAAAGAACGAATGAAAAGTTTCTACGATTATAAAAAAAAAATGGCAAAAATGTATTTTTCTACACCCGCATGAATATTAGGTAATCTACGTATAAACTACAACAAAAAAGTTTGCTATTGCATCCAACTGACCGAATATATTTCATATCAATTCCAGGAAAAGAGAAAACTGAAAAAAAAAATAAATAAAAGCCTGCAAGCAGAGTTCATATTTTGGAATCGGCTATTATTTTTAAAATTTTAAATGAGTGACAATTCTGTCAAAATAATTGTCAGTATATTTTTTAGTAACTGAGATTAAATAAATATTAAAATAAGTTATTTTTATATAGAATCGATAAATATTATCATTTTCATTTTTATTTCGTCTATAAATATAAATAATTCGTTAATTTTAATGAAAATATATGAAGTCAATTTATTTACGAGTATTATTTTATTTTATAAATTAATAAATGTCATAAATTATTTTTAAATTAGTTATTTTACTTTAATTACCTAATATAATTTTTAAAATTTGTAGATTTTCGTTAATGAGTCGTAGAAAAAATATAGTGTACAACTCGAGTAGCTTATTCATATCGTACTTATTTATAGGAAACACCCTTAAACAATAATTTAAATTTTGTACATACGGTGTGGATCAGCCAAATGGAATAAATTCGGTAATAAATAAATGAGAGCGTGTTCAAAAAAAAAATTTGAACACGTCGATTGGAATTTTTAGTTGCACATTTTTTTACCAAAAATACCAGTGGCCAATACCAACTTTATTATTTTTGGATTCTTCAGAAAATTCTAAACATATATACAGGGTTATTCATTATAAATTACCCATTCCTTAGCATCGTTATTATTGCCTATAGAAAAAAAAGTTTTAAATAAAAGTTGTGTGGTTATGACTAAATTTCGTTAAAATGCTATCAAAAATGCAGTAGCGTGCAGATTTTAGGGGATACGCAGTAATAATTTTTTTTTATTAATGGGATACCCTGTATATTATTTATTTTTTGAAATGATCCTTTCTTTCTGATTTTAAAAATATATTTATTACCCCCACTGTATGCCGTTTTTTACGTAATAAACGTCAAGTATCTTAGTTAAACTTACCCACCCCTTATTATCCTTATGTTTGCCTATAGATAAAAAGTTTTGAATAAAAGTTGTGTGGTTATGACTAAGGAATACAGGGAATACGAAATAATTTTTTTTTAAATTGTATACCCTACATATTATTTAATTTTTGGAATGACCCTTTCTTTCTGATTTTAAAAACATATATGTTACCCTTACCGTATGCCGTTTTTGAGGTATTAAACGTCAAATATCTTAGTTAAACCAATATATGGAAAAGTTAGCATTATCAAAGTAAGCTATGAAAATGATTGACAAGTGACAATTCTTTAATTAAATAAAATGGTTTAGAGTAAAGAAAAATATACAAAATAAAGAACAAAGATTTATTTAGGAAATATA